GACGGGCAGCAGTTAAGTATCAACCCGTTTTTGTTATGAAATGGTTGAGGTGTTATTTTTCCTTTTGAAAAGCTTTTGTAACGTTCACATGCCAAGTTTCATTGTTTATTTTGTTTTATGGTTAACTCATTCTTTGGATTCGCGCGATAGTTCTGATCGAGAGCCGAACATTGTGTCGGTTACGTTGATGATTAACACTAGTAATTGTTCTGTCTTGTAAATTCTATAAAAATAATTAGCAACGGAAAATCGTTTTCAATAATTTCAACATTCCTTTGAAAACCGTGAACATCATTAGTATATGAAAGAAATGTCTCAAATTGCTGGGTATTCTGAGTTAGCTATTTACAATTTTACATCAATCTGAGAGAAAATCGACAAGGCACTGCAGTCATCGTGATATAATACTGAACAACACTGATCATTTTTGGGCGATTAGTAGGTGAAATTAGCGCTATTATCTAAAGTCATCATCATTCATTTACACAAAGTCATCTATCATTTACTACTTTTTCTGTATCTGGTGGCACCAAAACCTGTATTTCATTTGAAGTGCCCAACACTAGATGCTGAAAATAAATAAATAATATAATAATAATAATAATAATAATAATAATAATAATAATAATAATATCTTGTTTTAATTTGAAGCGAATCTCAGGTCATATGCTGTGTTTTTTTTTCTGCCCTACCAACTAAATTAGTTTACATTAAATATTAAAAATTCAGGGCGCAAGTGTTCTGATACTTCTGGAATTCAAGGCAAGGCGCCATGCGTACATTTATGTATGCCTTACGAGGTTGAGCAAAACCAGACAGACCTCAGAATATAGTGGAATATGTGAGAATATCGCTACATTCCTTTGTGAATGAAAGGTCTGTGACATGGGAACTATTTTTGAACGAGTCAACATGAGCGCATATTAACTCTCCGCACCGAGACGAATCAGGGCCTCCTATTATCTTGTTATAAGCTGCAGCTCGTGCTACGAACATCATTTTTGTTGCTAGCATTCTCAGCGGCAAGATGCCACTGCGTAGACGTTCCCGGCGCATGTTATTTGCTCTGTGTAATTTCGAAGTCTGTGTTCCTGTGTCTTTGTCTTGGGGAGGGGGGGGCTCGATAAAACATTGTATTACAGAAGTGGTTTCTCAGATTTCGTTCGCGTTATTTGCAAGCATATTTGACACTTGAAAAAGGTAGCGAAGTTTATCTGAGGGGTCGGTGAACGATGAATGAATATTGTCAATATTCTCGATCATGCGTTACGCAGCGCCGTCGGCCCACACGCGACGTGCCTTTTTTAGCACCCCCACTTCACCTCCTCCCCTCCGTTATACGGCGCGAAATCCCAAGACGTCACCGAGTCAGAGACCTCGAAACTCACTACATTGCTGCTCTCGCATTTATTCATTTTTGTGCTGAGAAACGAACTACGTACTGAACGTGTATGGTTAGATGAGTTTACCGATCAATTAACGTGCATACGCAGTGGCTAACGGTTCTCCGTATTAATAGGAAAAGTTATAAATAATAAATCCGGTATAAAAATCATTTTAATAAACTTCCAATGAATAATGTTGCCCTTTTGCTAATCACTCGTCACAGTTTTCGCCTACATTCAAAAATCCCGCTTCTCCGAAATGCGCCCACTGTATTGTTCGTCCAAGTTTACGTCATCCCTGTTTCTCAGCTCAGCGGCTGCTTGACTTGTGTTCTTTCGGCACACGCGTTGCTTGTCAACGTTTCGGCGATCGCCGTCACAGCGTCTGATCCCGTATTGGGAGAGGTGGCTCACGGCATCAACTAAGATCATGCAGTGCCTCTGACCGTCCTGACGGTGGCAGGATTTTTTACATTGGCTAGATAGCTAGATCAGGTTCAGTTGTTGTCTGGAAGAAAATCTTTGGGCAGGCTGCTCTGATCGATATTTCTCCGTGGGTTTTTCCGATCAATATCAGGCGAATATCGGAGCAGTACCCTTTCAAACGGGCGAAAGGCTCTCCACCATTCCTTCCTCTTCCTTGTCTTCTCCTCGCCCTGTACATAGGCACTTCAATGCACTATATTACCACACCGGTCGGGAGCTTAGATCTAGTCGCGGCTGGGGCGTGCACCGCTGGTACGGGATACCTAATTGGGGGAAACCCCGATAGCCGACAGTAGATCGGCGCTGGATCTCGCCATCCAGTGGGGGAAGATCACCACGATAAAACATGCACCTACGCTTATAGCACTAGTGACCTTAGCATTTCACGCGCCCAGAATCACCAATCGTTCAATCAATCCGGTACCACACCTCACTCGAAAAAGGATTTCCTACCGCCTACCTTCTGGATATGGAGATCCCCGAACAGACAACCGGAAGAAAATTAGGACGGGTTTCATTTGTGCCAGTTTTATCCATTGGGTGATGGCCACTTACTCTCGTTTTGGCCCAAACTGGTAGAATGGAACCTGCTCCAGCCAGCGACTGAACTCGACCTAGCTATCTAGATAATGTCTAAACTGCCACCGTCAGGACTCGAACTTTGGATAACCCTCCCGGTCAGAGGACGTGGATTCAGAGCATGGGGGAGCTCCGTTACGGTTATACACGTAGATGGCCTTTAGTACACGGGGGGGGGGGTCAATATCCAAGAAACGAAAACTAAAGGTTTGTTCACCTGTGTGACATGAAAAAATCTTATTTTGCGAAAGAAAAAAATGGGCACGTGGACCTTTAGCTTGTGCTCATGTTCATTTCGGAATTCATCATGCAAGACTGACGATAGGTCTTCCAACAGGTACCTGCACTCCAGTCATCAATGTTTTTAATTTCTCATATACATACTTACGTAGTGTAGAGAAAGTTATGTAATGCTGCAGAAAATCAATTTCGATATTCCAACGGAAATACACGTTTTGGGATACCCTGATACCGAAAAGGGTTGTTTCTTTTTACTCAGATATGGAAAGTTATGAAATGCTGCGGATAATCGATTTCTAGATTTCGACGGAAATAGATGTTTTGGGGTCCCCTGATACCGGAAAAGTGGTTCTTTTGAAAACGTCCGTCCGCCCGTCCTATTGTCCGCCCGTCCTATTGTCCGCCCGTCCTATTGTCCGCCCGTTCTATTGTCCGCCCGTTCTATTGTCCGCCCGTCCACTGTCCGCCGTCCACTGTCCGCCCGTCCTACTGTCCGCCCGTCCTATTGTCCGCCCGTCCTATTGTCCGCCCGTCCCACTGTCCGCCTCGTCCGACTGCCCGCCCCGTCTCTTGTCCGTCTGTGTGTGGTGTGTGGTGTGAAAACGTCCGTGTGTGTCTGAAAGAACTACAGAGAAAAACAATAATTTGAAGGAAAAATATCTGTCTACAATTTTTGTTGTAGGAAGACGCCTGAAAAAAAATTCGAAACTACTCTTGAGAGCTTCCGAAAAACATTATCTGACACTAATTTAATACGCATGTACTCATAATATAATGCCAAGCTTATATATATATATATATATATATATATATATATATATATATATATATATATATATAGTATATATATATATATTTAACAAATGAAGGATTTGAAAATTTATCCCTTCGACATAATTGTTTTTCTCTGTAGTTCTTTCAGTAAGGTATTATGCATTTTCTGAAAATTTTACTAGTTTTCGGGCAGTATTGTGTGCAGTATTAAAAAAATTAATTTTATCGAAAACGAGTCCAAACTTTTATTTACATCAGCGGCGATTTGTTCACACTATTGCAGTTACAAGCACATGTGCTTTAAATAATGTCTTATAAAGTTTTATCGCAAACAGAACGATTTTGTAAAAACGAGCTCAAAAGTCCACATTTTCAGAAACGCTCAAACGCTATTTGCTCAAAACCTGTCTCCAAATCTTTTCTTCAAAATTTTCGTACAGATAGTGCTAATTTCACTGTTTATGAAGACTTTAAATGAATTTTGCTGTATTCACCACCCCCCCTCCCCAATACGCAAATGATTTTTTTTAGATACGTCTCACATCGTTATTGTACACATTCCCACCGAGTATTATATACTATTATACTACTATATTCTTTCATATTTCTACATTCTGACACTGGGCAACACAAGCCCAATGCTAGAATAAGGTTTCTATCAATCCATTTCCGTTTTGTACCACATTCTACACACCACTTGCGTCATGCTTTCTTGTGCAGAAGGAATATGTAGCGTCTCAAAGGAAAACTGCAAATTCAGCATTAATGGTTTATTGTATGGAAGAGGAAAGTAATAAATTGCGAATAGGGTGAATACGTTTTATTGGCATAAATAACATATTGGAAACAGTTTTCACTCTTTTTTCGAAATGATTCCTCTGACCTAGTGAGGCATTATGTAAGAACAGCGAAATACTCGTATTTTCATGTTTGCAAAATCGAAATGTTCCCCAAAAAAAGGAAAAAAAAAGTGGCTTTTAACTGAACGTAATGTTCAAGTTTCTATTAAATGTTCCATTTCTCAAAATACGTTTCTCCCATATAGCCAGAATTTGCTTATTTTGTTTCTCGATCGTTCCTAAAATTGTATTCCTCTTTAGATTTTGCTGAAAACAATTTTATATCCAGAAAATTACGAATCATAACCATCGAGACGTGAACGCGAATCAAATTCTCTTCATGCAGCTCCAAGCCTACAACGCATAAAGTTAATAATTGTGTAATTTGCGTAGATAATTATATTTCTACTTCAACGCATCGTTGTGGGTGAGGCGAGTGGGGCGATTCCAGCTGGTGGACATTGCCTTTCATAGCGAGCGTAATAATTACAGTCCTAATATCACCCTCGGAGAACTGTGGCAACAAACACTCAATTATTCGGCGGCTTGTGGGCACGCTAAACTCTAATTAGAATTCATTGACAAGGCGGTCGTCCTTTCCTGAGGCGTAGTCATATTAGTTGTTGCAAATGACCACTCGCATTCATTTGGTGATAAAATACGAATAACCTTTCCACGATCACCAAACTTGAATGTTATGGTGAATACTAATTGAAGCGTATCTAGCAAATCTATATTGAAGTTGCGGTTGCTAATTGTATGCATCACATGCAGGTTTTAATACAACGAAATGTGTTTGACCACTGTTCTTCACAGTTAGAAATAGTAATTTACGTCATAATGACGGAATATGTTACATTACGAACGAGATCTTTCCAGCCGAAGCTGAAAATTCTAACGAGTAATGTAACATTTCAAAAAAGGCCATATGTAGTTTGTTTAAAAGACAGTAGTTTTTGCGTAATTTGCGCTTAAAATTTGCGGATTTTTTTCTCCAAAACCGCTGAACTTTTTCTTTAAATTTTTGTCCACCGATGTAACAAGGGACTCTAAAAAATATGGTACAAGTCCCATTTACAGCTATTAATCGTTTATTGTTGTTTTTTAGAAACTTGCAAAAAAATCAAAATTACAAATTAAAGATGGAGATTTTTGCCTCACATAGTCTGTTGTACAAATTTAGCTCTTTAAAAAAGTTAATGAACTTTTTTTTAAAGTTAGTAGTTTTCGCGTAATTTCTATTTGAAATTAATGTTGGCGTACATAACGATAACATTGTAATATTTCGAGAAAGTATATGCTGTTGTAGCTCCACTAATTAAATATTTTTACCTATTACCGAATTTGCCAATAGTGATACTCCACTCTTTCTTACAAAGCCGTGGAAGATCGCGCTTCTATGACCACCGGAAGTTTACGGTGATTGGTCATAATTACCCACCCCCTTCTTGGAAACCGCGTATTCCGAATCAGGGGATCTTTGTCGTGTAGAAGTAATCTCGAAAACATTCTTGCCTAAAGACCGTTCCATAGAGTCCATTCGAAACGATAGAATTCGATAGAAATCGACATTCTTTTTTACTGGTCATGGTTTCGCATGCTCTTCCTGCTAGGAATGGGCGATTATGAAAAAAGTAATAAATTAATTTCTAATCGATTATTTTTATTAAATTAAAATGCATTGATTAATCGTGCCAAATTAATCTGTTAATCTTATATAATCAATTAATTTTTCACATGTTTTAAGTAATGTGTAAAATCGTTAATTTTTGTTTATTATTTAAATAATATTCATTCCACACATACTCATGATAAAAGAACTGTAACTTAGTTTAAAATGAATATCAGTCGTAGAAGTTCTAAAAACAGTTACACCAATAATAATGTGATCTAACAATGTACTTGGTTGAGGACGATTCTAGAAAAACTAGTAGTTCTCTCTCTTTCTTATTTCATACTGAATACTATTATTACTACCATTACTATTATTACTATTATTAGAAACCTAAGATCCCATGAAGGGCAAGGTTCTCCTACATTTTTCCAGGGAATACTGAATGAAGTGATAGAATGGTGATGGGTGAAAGGATGAAATGGAGTGATACGATGATGATGATGATGATGATGATGATGATGATGATGATGTGATAATGATGATATGATCGTGGGATTTTGAATCACCCCAGCATTCGCCTTACGACCAAGGGAAAGCACGAAAACTCCGATCAGGATGGCCGGCCTGGAGATCGAACCCGGACCTCCCAACTGCAAAGTCAGCACGTTACGCACTGAGCCACTTAGCTCGGTACTGAAAATAATTAGAACATACATAATGGCTTTTCATTTTATTAGTTTGCTAACATGAAATTAATTGCATATATTTGTCTTTATTATGTTATGCAGTTGGAGAGAGATAAACAGACGAGGAATTCAGTTGCTAAAGTTCAAAAGTAAAAATGTAATTTCCTATTTTGCTCGTCTTGAAAATTAATATTTGAATTAAAATAATCAGTTAAAAATTAGAAAATTTAATCGATTGTTGTACTAATCGTGATTAAATCGCCCATCCCTACTTCCTGGATCTCGCCGTGGAACACGTGACAGGGACGTAGAATTCTGCGCTTGGTCATGCAATCCCCGCGACTAGAGCTTCATGGGAATACTCCTTTGGCATGTTATGGGATCAAAATGTAATTGTTTTAAATTAATTGAGTTTAATTAGAAAAGTCGCCTATTTGATTTCTTCGCTCAGAAACTGTAATGCAGCCTTTGTGAGAATGTAATGTTACGTTCCTGTCATGCCTATCAGCACCATTGTCATTTCATCCAATTTCGCGATAACTAAAGAAATATTCTCTGGTATACCCATCAGTACATATCCAACAACTTGAGTTGATCATCTGAACTGTTTTCGAACAAATTTTTTATGGTCTTTTTTCTTTGTTTCTAGAGCATTTTTAACATATTTTAGGAGCATTTTATTGATCAATTTTGGCGATGTTTGAAGTCATCAAAATCCGCTCCGTAGTAATGACTATAAATTATAAAATGAGTTTTTACTTCCTCGCATTTATTCAGGCCCGTAAATCTGTCGTGAAGTAAGAGGAAGTCAAATTTTTATTGCAATACCTTTTTCTTTTTTAATTTTACGCATTACATTACGCTATTTCGTATATTTTGCTTTTTTAATTGCATATATTACCAAATATATTTACATATATGCGCATTTTTCACTGTTTTTATTCGATATAAATCACAGCCCAACTGATAAGTAATATACAGTTTCCACTGCCGTTCTCAGGCTCCATTTTCTAATAATTCAGTTATAATCTTAGGAGGAATTAATAGTAAATAGTAATAATAATAATAATAATAATAATAATAATAATAACAATAACAATAATAATAACAATAACAATAATAATAACAATAACAATAATAATAACAATGATAATCACAATAATCACATCTGTGCAATAGAACACAAAATTGTGTCAAGCAAGACTACGGCAGCCCTAGAGGCAGATGAGCTCTACAAGTACCTAGGGATCCAGCAAAGCAAGTTGGTTGTGCACAGTAAAATTATTGCAAAAATACGATCGGAATTTGTCAAGAGAATGAAAGTATTTTTAAAGCCTTTCTCAATCACGAAACTTTACAGCAGCAATTAATATGCACGCAATACCAATAATCTTATTCTCATTAAGGATCTTGAAATGGTCGAAAACAGATACCGAATCCTTAGAAAGATTTATCAGTCCAAATGACCCACTTCCAACTCCACTGTTCCAAAAGATCACACTCCCAAGACAGATGGGACGATGAGGCATCTTAAAAATTAGCAATATTTACAAAACATATCATTAACCTGAGGGAGCGCTTCTGGAAGAAAGCTGTAACTTCTCATTTTTATAAAGTGGTACAGGAAGCAAATAATTATTGGCCATTATGCCTCACACAACAAGAAATTTCCAAATTCCTCCATTCTTTTCTGTAATTTCAAAAATTCCTATCAGTTGGCAGTAGCAAATGTCCCCTTACAGGGAAGAAAAGCATGATTTTCTTCAGGTGATGAGGGGTATTGTGGAGGAGATAATTGTTATGGCACGAACATCATGCCTGTTTGTATTCTGACTCTGACATGAACCTGCCAAACGCCTTAAACTTTGTTTCTTTTAGGGGCAAAAGATTATGTACACAGCAGCACTAATAGCAGCTTCATTTACGCAAGGATAGATTATGATTTGACACAATTTTAGAATGTTATAGAATGATATAGTGCATAAGAAGCATTTCAAAAAGATGTGAAACTCGTTTTTGTGTACAAGTGGACATAATATAACATATAAATGTTCCTTATATGTTTGAGAGTATTAGCTCTATCACTAAAATTCTGTTTCTTCTTTACAGAAAGATGATACATCTCTCTTGGCGCAATTTTTCTATGCAGACGAAGCCCTGAACCTTGTGGCTGCCGAACTGGACAGCTTTGATGGAAGGAAGGATCCAGAAAGATGTTCAGCTCTAGTCAATCACCTTCGACAGTGCCAAGATAAGGTGATTAAAGTTATTTTGAACTGTATTGCATCTTTTACCCCCCCCCCGTTGCACTAGTATTTTCAAGTGATATGTCATGTATAATGGTTTTTCCATTTTCAATGTTCCTGATATGTATTCTTATAAATATTACAAAAAATTAATCCATTTTTCTTACAAAGGTGTTTAATGTTATTGCACTAATCTGGGTAAAATTTTACATGTCAACACCCTAAGTTCATATGTCAAAATTGACAATTTTTTTTGGCAAAGAAAAAAACCCAACATATTTGTAACAGAAACATAAGTCATTTCGATATTTTGTTATAATGTTTCTATGATCATCTGAAGGCAAGGCAAGTTGTCACCATTGGCAACCATAAGATATGGTGCAAAACAAAAAACACAATTTTAACATATGCTTTTTGCACCTAGGATGTTCATATGGTGCCTTAGGGTATTGATAATGTGACGCTTATTGTTAATAAATCGGTGATGAAAATCTTATGAGCCTCATTCTAATGTTTCAATTAAACTGAATTAATATATAAATACCCATTTTACCCTTTTATTCAAAATTGACAGACAAGGAATTTGGAGTTAGCGGTTTACCATAAGTAGATCAGTATTATTTTATTTAGTATTTGATTATTTATTTTGAATATTGCTTTAAATTGTATACTTTTAAGATAATTTTGTATAAATGTGCCTAAGATAATTAATTTGTATGATGATCTTGTGTTAAGTTTTATGTATATGAGAATATCTATAGTATAGTACAGAAATATCACTATCAGAATGAGAGAAGTTTAATTTGTGCTTTCACAAATAGTTGCTATCTGTAAAACTTAGTTTCTAGACCTAGTTATTGTATATAACTTGGTTCTCCCTCTTAATTTACAATATCTAGAAATTTCAGAATTCACTTCTCTCTTGCTTTTGAACAGGTGCTGTCTATATGTAATCGTATAATGGATGAATCGATTCCCGGAGAGAGAGCAAATAGAGACTTCAGGGTGAAATTCCCTGATGATGTAATGCAAGAAAATTTGGCTGGACAATTATGGTTTGGTGCTGAGGTATTTTTACCTGTTTGCTCCCTGGGGAAGGGGGTTAATTACAATATGCTCATTAAGCTAATTTCTTGGTGGAATGTTATACCGTAATGATTTCAGTTTTCAATTTTGTTATTAATCCTGAAATAAATTTGAATATAAAATAGACATTTGTAGGTTTTCTCTTTACTGTCTTAATTTTTAAATTAATTCTTCAGTATTTTAAATTCTTCAAAGTAAAAGCTGTCATTAATACAATTAAATTAATCATTTTTTTATTTATTTATTTTTTTGGTTAAGTAATTAAAGTTGTATAATGTGTTCTAGTGTTTGGCTGCTGGATCCAGTATCATGAATCGGGAAAGTGAAAGTGCTGCCATGAGACCTTTGGCAAAAGCCCTTACAAAGGCTCTGGAGAATGTCCGTAATTTATTAAGAGAACAATGTTTACGGGGTTGTACCACTGTTGCTCCCAGTGATCTATTTGCAGAGAGGGTACAGGAAGCTTTGAAAATATTTGATCGTCTTTTTGCTGAGTTTGAGCTCAGTTATGTGAGTGCCATGGTTCCAGTGAAGACTCCTCGAGAATATGAGTTGCAACAACTGGTTGTTGTTCTTTTCTCTGAGACTTTGCAAAGGTATTCTACATCCCTTCCTTTTTCTGGTCTTACAAATTGTAATTATGATTGTGCTAGTATACACATAATATTTGTGGTGTATTTGTTGTGAATTTACAGTAATTGTCTTTGCATAATTTGATCCTTCAATTCTCAAATTTCAGGGCACTAAAAATGAAGCTTTTAACTCAAGATATGGTTGACGACTATGACCCTGCTCTCATGTTCACAATTCCACGTTTAGCAATTGTCAGTGGCCTTCTCATCTTTCCCGATGGACCACTGTGCTTGGATAGACCACCTTCTGATATGTCAGAAATGTTTAGACCTTTTCGGGTACGTTTGTCATTGACTCCAGCAGAACAGGCTTGGTCAGCTGGTCAGATGAAATGTCAGAATTATTGTGATGTTAAATGCTAATGCATTCTCAATCTAAAATGCTTATTGCCTTTTGTAAAATTCAAACTGTCTTCTATGAATCATTTCTTAAGAAGCTGTAAAAAAGCATTTGGTTCCCAACAGTATCGGTATTAACTCCTTGAGGGTTAATGCACACTTTTAAAGGGCTTTTTTGATGATTAGAGGGTTGATAGCCAAATATCTCCAGCAACTGTTAGTTACAGTCAAAATGCTATTAATTACAAAAAAAATTAAATTAAGTTGTTAATTGTTACTTTCTTGCATACTACTTAAGTAGTACAGAGGAAAAAGTATAATCTGTAGCAAAAAATGTTTGGAGAGAAAACTTGATTTGTGGCGCTCTGATAATAAGAAGTGGGTAAATGGAGGAGGGGGAGAGACAGAAAAGAGAAAAAAATAGAAATGGCTTCATTGTTTAATCTAACACTTATGCACCATATTTATATTTCATTTTTGGTGTATTCTCTGAATTATTGAAAATTGCATGAGTTCGATTTTTTGTTCAATGGTGCATGGTCCATTTTCGGTGCATAATGTATCTTTGAAAATTGCAAAAATTAACATTGCAAAACTACAATAAAGATGTCAGAGTATTTACTGAATGAAATCTGTTCTTCAAAATTATATCTTTTAAGTAAGATCATGCATAAGTTTTTGAAAGTATTATTGGTTTTGTGTAATTTGTGCTCCTTTCAAATTGTAAATTCGAATTTCCCAAGCCGCTTTTGCTGAACAGTCTTTTATGAGTTAGATGATAGGGCTAGTTGGATACAATTTGCCATTTGTAGCCCATGGAAGACACAACCATTGTTTCTGAAGTGAAATTGAGTGGCATAAGGTTATCATTAAGGTCCCCATTCCAGATACAAACTACTTCAGTTATAACCTTTAGTCAACGATATTTTTTCAAGTTGCATAGTGTTTGAATTTGTTGCACTGAGGCGATATATTATTTTGCAGGAGGAAATTAATTTCCGGGACATTTCCTAAATTCAATATAGCCAAAGTACAGGTTCACAATACCCAAATCGTGTGCAGTGAAACGGAACCAGGGAAGTATGTTCACTATTACAGAGAGTTCGCTATATCAGAGTACACCGTAATCGGAGTCGACTGTACTTGTTTATATTTCTCAAAATTGACAAATACAACAGTAACATAAAAATAATAAAATATAAACATAATAAACCAATTTTTCAAAACTTTTGTTCATATTCTTTGTCTGTCTTACAGAAAAGAGTCAAGGGGTTGATGCAAGAAAAGGGTTAAGAATTCCTGGTTTACACAATTATGCAATGTGTTTCCTTTCTGTATTTGTTCTGTAAATTTTCATTTTAACAACATGCAACAGCTAAGATTTTAAGAAAATTATAATTTTCAAACCTTTTTCACTAAACAGTAGTTTTATTTAAAATAAATAATTTTTTTCAGTTGTTAAGGTGGGCAACTAATGTTTTTTCTGTGATATTTTCTACCAAATTGTCCCCTGCTTTTTATCTGTATCCCTAGTTCTTTTTATTTCCATGGAGTCAGTTACATTTGCTGACTAGCTGACTAAGTGTGTGGTTAATTTGCAATATCTGAATTTATTTTAACTTGTACACTAATGTAGAGTTAATAATTACTTTTACAAATTTCTTTTGCAGACTCTTCTGCACAAAATTCGAGAGTTGTTATGGACTTTAAATAAAAAGGAACTTTACACTCTTGAAAAATTACTTTGCTCATCTGAAGAACTAGATTATTCATGTACTAATGGAAAAGAATTAATTGAATCAAATTCAGTTTCCAAAGAGATGGAAAACAATCTTCCAGCATCATACCCAACAGTTCCTGATTTGGATGATTTTGTGACACGCTTTTATATTGATTATCCTAGTTGTAAGCAATTTGTAACAGACTTCTATGCTATGACAGCAGACAAAGAAAAGCTACAAGAGTGTAATCACCTGGAGAAAGAGCCATCAGTGTCATGGGAGAACACAGAAGATAGTGAAGATGAAACAGAATGGGTTGGTGAGACCTCTGAGTGTGAAACTTTAGTAACAGAAATTTTGAATACTGAAGAAGGGACAGTCCCAAGTACTGAACATGATGGAAGTTTAAGTGATAATGATGGTACTTCTGTACCAAATTTAAGGAATAGTGCTACTTTTAATATGAATATACAGATTAATTCAAGTATTCATCCTACTGTTGAAAGTGGTTCCCACTCCTCTGATAGTACATGTAATGAACCTTCCATTTTAGGTACTGCTTTGGGTCATGCTGATAATGGATCACAAATGCATATTGTAAGCACATTACCATTTCCATCTTCAACTCTCATTGCTTCTGACTTTTCAATGTCAGATGAAGATAGATTTCCTATGAATACTGAAGTTTATTCAGAAGACAATGGGCAATGTTCACATAGTTCTGATACTTTCAACAACCATTTAGACAGCAACCAAGATTTCAGTCGAGGATTCCTAATGGCCAATCAAGTTGAACATGATATGATGTTGACCACTTCTGGATCTCAATCAGCAATTACTAGCAGAATTCCTCGGCAGCCTCCTCCTGATGAAGGCACCCAAGAGGCGATTTGTGTGGCTACTGCTACCCTATCAACTTTACTCCTGAGTCACGGCAGTGATTCTTCTGTTAGTAGTCCAGTTCATCAACGACCTGAAGTTGAAGAAGATGCCAATACACAATCGCCAATTGATTCAGGAGTAGGCACCGTCATTAGTTGCAGTGACACTGGCAGTTTTTCTGACCGTTCTCCTGAGGCACCTCAAATTGAGTCTTGCGAAAACAGAGGTGGTCTGTTCAAAACCAGCCCTGAACATCATTGTATTTGTAAAGACAGTTCTCCTGCAACTATTGTTGAACATGATGAACAAAATTCTCCTGTTGATAATACTCTTGTGCATCCTCCTCAAGATTCTAGACAAAGCCAGGGTTATGAATCAGAATCTCATGATTTTTCCTTTTCCTCTACAGGTCTACAAAACCAAAGCGAAATTTTGAGTAATTCAGTCTGTGATAAAAACTCAATTAGTCATAATAGAAATAATTGTGGTATTAGTGTGTGTTCAGTGTCTCAACATTGCAGTCACCAAATTTCTCATTCAGTTAATTCTAGAAAACGCGATTCAAATGTTTGTGAACAAAGTGTACCACAAGATCTTTGTGAAGTGAATGTAGTAAATGACTTTTCTGATTGTGTAAATAGTGTGTTTAATAATGAATTATGTGATAGAAAAATTAGGACTGAAGAATATTTGGAAAGAAATGTTCCTACTAATGACATGGTCCAAGGTGTGGATGAAAGCATGAGGGTGAATACTGGACATGTTTTACCTACAGTGTGTGTATCAAGTGATGAAAAAGAAAAGTTGGAAGGAGCAAGTAGTAGCAATGCCAATGAAACTGTTTTATCTCTGAGATATTTGCCGAGGCGTTCTAGTCCTCATGGCAAATCTGTAAGTCCTCAGTTCAGAAAGAAATTTGGTATTGAAACAAGTGACAGGAAACAGGTGCCTTGTCCAGCAACTGCTGGAGCTGTTCCAGGGAATACAAGCAGGTGAGTGATATGCTTGGATGTTGTATATTTAGTCGCACTGTGTGATCTTAACAAGTGTGCTGATATTATGCTTAAGTTGTAATCTTAAATTGTAGTTGCATATGTTATGGAGTGTGTTTGATGAGTAAAATTTGAGATATGGGATTGTTTTGTAAAGAAATTATTGCTTCTGTGCATTTTTTCTTTTTTCTTTTGAGAGTTTTTACTTACTAATTACAGCTTATTTTATGTTAATCTTTACTACACGAGAGTGTGATGCACTATTGAAAATTTTAAGTGAAATACATTTTTCAGTAGTGTCTGAGTGGTATGCTAGTATTAATTGACAACAAATATTTTTCTTGTGTGGTATTTTGCTGTTTGTAGTTCTGCATTTTTTTCAGCTATATTTCAAGCAGGTGACATCTATGTATACTACTCCGTGAATTTACTCCTGTGTAATCAGGATATTTAATTCTGAGCCAATTAGAGCAGTAACTCCTGACAGGTTTAATATACGAATGTTGTCCCTGATATGTTGTAGGGGGCTGGAGCCACCAGTGGTAGGTAGCTATTCGTCCTCTTGCTCCAGTTGTCGCAGTTCTGCCACAGCATCCTCAGACAGGTATATATGTATGTCCAACGGATGCTGTATCAGTAAATATTTTAAATTGAAGATTACACCACGAGATTTTAAAGCATTTTTGTAAAAGATAATCTCTTGTGTTCTTGCATTCGTTGGTTGTTAATGAGCATTTACATATTCTCCGACTACAGTTTGTGAATAAATTAACTTCTTAAATATGTTTTGCAGGGTTAAGGCTAGTTCATTTAATCAGACATGTTTGCACAACATAATTTTGAAAGCAAATTGAATATTTACCATATTCCTGTTTCTCAAAACCTAATCTTGTGTTATTGCTGACTTCACTAAAAGCTTCCTAGTAGTGTGTCTTATAACACAGAAAGTTGTATTTGTTTTTCGTTAAACAACTGTCTGTCTATCTGTCTGTCAGTTCATAATTCATTCATTTACCAGAACTCTGTGACAACTGTAGTGTTTTTGGTTGAGGAAGTTTTGAATCATGTTTAGACAAATACAATTAAATGTTCCATTCACTCAGTAAAAAGATTGTTCATATATTTCGAGCATTTATTGTGATTTTTTTCAGTTTTTGAAATTATAATATTTTTACCTGTAGTAAATGCTGTTCAAAACGTGATGGCTATGCCAAAACAAATATTTAAAGATACGATTTATAAAAGGAGAGCAAAATGAGAAGAGTGAATTTGAACCTGCCAGTCCAAAGATTTTTATTCAAATGCATCAAATGAAAGAGTAAACTGCAATGTTTTTAATTATCCACATACAAGTGGATAATTTATTATTCCTAAAATCGCTGAAACAATTGCATCAGAAATAATGTTTAGAGCTGAGTTTCTTCTACACATTAATAGATGTCATCAGATTCAATTTTTGCAGCAACATAGAAATGCACTTTGCTTGCAGCACAATGCATGTTATTTGATTTGCACTTGCCTAACATTTGGTGTGATTTTTTTAGTTTAAACTACAAGGAAGTTGTTTATTGTCTTAATTTTTACATTTATTAATTTTGGACTTTTTCTTCATAACAAATGTGACTGATTCCAATTTTATACAGGAATGACGTGCTGAGGCTCTGCTGCATTGGGTCTACATAAGCGATAATTAAAAATATGATTAATGAAGTGAATTCAGAATTTAGAGTATTGTACTAAATGAAAAGCTCTATTCTTCTTCATCTCCTTTTTCTTCTCTCTTTTCTTTATCTTTTCTTCCCTCCTTTTCCATCTCCCTCTCTCTTTTTCCTTCTCCGTCTCCTTTTCTTTTCCTGTTGCTTCTTCTTCCTCTCTGAATCCTTCTCCTCCTTTACCCTTCCACTTTTTCCTCCTACACCCTATCCCAGCTAATAATAAATGTGGCATGGTAAACACAGATTTTTTTCCCTCCCATCAAAAAACAGTTAAAAGCTGTGAGAGACACAATGGGGAGAAGTGCAATTTGTGTGTACCACCTAATATCATTAGTAGATACCATTGGCATTGTTACAAGAGTTGTCTTGAACCCTTCACCTTTGAAAAAATAGGACAAATTATAAATCCACAGGAAAAAAATAATTGTGTATTGTAAATATAATGGTTGTGCTTTTTGAGGCATTGAAAAAACATAAAACAGTGCTACGGGAGATTATAAGGGCTGAAATTCAATTTGTGTCTCTAAAATACAAACCTCCCCTAAAATACTCTATCCCCCCCTTCTCTCCCCTCTCTCTACTAAGTTCTGTCATGTTCTGATTTGAAATTTTCATCCACAATTCAAGTAAAAAATATCAATTATTTAAGTAATTGATTAGCAAATTATTATTTTTTGCCGGGTTCCGATCTGATATGATCTATTTTAAAGAATAGATCCTATTGTTACTGTATTCTTAAAGTTCTTAAAAGTCCCTTGATAGAAAATATTTTTGTTAAGGGTTCATCATAGAAATTCAGTAAATCAGTGTTGTAATTACATGGTTATGTTAAATATGTTGTGAGGGGTAGGGGGTATTATTTCAAGTTTTCATTACCTGACTTCGTGGCTACCTTGGGAATTATTTATCACGTGGTGAAAGGAAATACTTTTTAACATGCAACCTATCACTATCCTCAATGAGAAGCTTTACTATCATTTTCTCCTTCCCAAACTCTTTTCAATTACTTTGTTTGTGACCTCTCCTTGATCCTTCTTTTGATCAGTTTGTTTTAAGATTCCTTTGACTCTCTTCCGAATTTTTTACACTCTGTTCCCTTCCATTATTTTTATTCACATGTTTCACTGACAAACTCAACTTGGAGAGAGTATTTTTCCATTTCCTCCATGTATTCTTCAGTTCTTACTTGAATATTTGCAAGTTCTGGTTCCTTGAGGTCTTAAAGTTTGTAGACTGGAAAAATTTGCTAAAATGTATTGGCAATTCATTATTTCACGAGTAGTTTTCTCATTTTACATGCTTACAGTCATTTCGTAATTTGAAAGTTGTTCCCTATACACTTTTTTACTACTGTTACATTTTCCTCTTCCATCCTTTCCCCCACTATTTCTGCGTACAAAAATGCTCTCTATATCACACCAGATGACAATCTTATTCCCTGTAAAGGTTAGAATGGAGAAATATGAAGATTTGAATTGCATAAATACGAATTATTTTATGTATTTTAGCAGTAAATTAACTTTTTAGTTATAGTGATGCGTTCTGAATTTAAAATATTGCATTCAATTTTTGGATGTGAAATGGTTAGATCCCACCTTAATTATGCTTAAGAAACATGTTACCAATATGAGTTATATCAGGAAAAATTTCAGTGTCTTATAAATTGTTAACTCCTACACGAATGATTTCAGTGTGATAGATGCATAGACAGACAGTCTTCTGGAACAAATACACATGTATAATTCTGTTCTAAACATATTAAGTTGTAAGGTTCATTGTATTCAAATACTGTGGCTTATTTGTATTTAAGTTGTTTTTGAACACTTTGTTTATTCCAGCTGTAGTATGAGCAGTGATACCTCTTCTTTTAATTCTGAATGTCAAGATGACGAAGAAATTGCTTTAGCTATGCAAGCTGCAGAAATTGCTAATCGAAATGAAGCTCGTGCCAAGTTCAGGTAATAAAAACAAATATATATGCAGTTGAGATGAACTCTAATCATTGGTGCCCAAGAAAGTAACAGGTCTTCCGATTTGCCAGTTAACATAAGAGTTTTGACCTGAGTAGATCCATTGTTTTTGCAGCCAAACACAAAGTATTATATTCAATATACTGGCCATCTTGTAAACTATCTTACAAAATGTTTACTAGTAAAAAGAAACTACCTATTTTCTTAGGTTATGTCTTCACTTATCTGAAAAATGTCTATTTTTAAAAATGTATCCCTTTTTTTGTACATCAACAAAACTTATAATTCAAGTTAATTAAGTTAAGTGTAAAAAGTAGTAAGAAAATAATAAAGATAAATTTGTTTGGGAAAACCATTTCTAATTTTACTCTAGTTTGCAGTGTACATCTATTTATTTCTAATGAATTTTTTTCAGGTCTAGTGAAGATCTTGTGCATCGTTTGTTTGTTTGCATTGCGGGTGTAGCTGATCAACTTCAGACAAATTTCGCTGGGGATCTGCGGAATATTTTGAAGTGTGTGTTCCTCATGAGTGCTGTAAGCAACGGCAGCAGCTCTAGTCTTGAAAATGATTCTGAAGAGCAAGTTCTAGATCAGGATACATCGTCAACAAATGATCTAGGTAAATAGTCTTTAATATCTTATAGCAATGACCCAGCCATGTTGCAGTTCTTTGGTAACAACCATTTTCAAGCCTGTTTCAGAAGTTTGGTATTTAAAAAATATGAAACCCAAAATGGAAACTTCATAATAATAGTAATAATAATAATAATAATAGTAATAATAATAATAATAGTAATAATAGTAATAATAGTAATAATAGTAATAATAATAATAATAATAATAATAATAATAATAATAATAATAGTAATAGTAATAGTAATCATCATTATATGGAAGCAGCATAGCTGATAATACATATATCAGTTTCTTCAATACATAATAATTAATACATCATATGGTATTACTTTATAACAAAACTATCATAAAATATTTTTAAATTTGCGTATCTCGTGTATCACAGTTTGTTTTCAACTCGCAATGTCACAGATTATATCTGGCCTTGTCCAAATGAGTTTTGAAGGACGCAACACTTCTTGCTTTCACACAGGCCTCTGGTAGTTCATTCTATGTGTTCAGCGAACTTTGGAAAACTACTTATCAGATCAGCCAGTCTTTAGAATTCTCTTCCAGACAGTGCCTGACTTCAATTTGGCTATATGCTAGTTAGTATCAAAAATCATGACCGTCATCATTGGGCATTTTACAACTGAACATGTCAGTTATCCGCTGACACTCCCTGCCCTCAGTTAATACTACTGCCTTTTTACATCATTGAGTGCCTCTACTCTGTAACTTTGCTATGGCTTGTAAGCCCTTTTACAGCTGAGAGCTTACTCAAGTCACATTGTAGTTTGTGTCTGTGGTAGTTCTTGAGCTAAATTACAAATAGTGAAGGTTATTGACGCCTAAGTGGTGCTCACATTATGTCTCTTAAGTCCATTACACAACTTTCTCCCCCCAAGCATGCAAGCAGTCACATTCATATCTTACTTCATATATCTTTCAAGCCCAAAAAGTTCTGGGGAGAAGTGGGGCCTTGAAAGTGATACATGGTGGTTGGGAAAAGCCCAACCATGTTACAAGGGAACATCCATGCACAAGGTGGGATTCAAACCCTCAGACCCTGCAGCTTGCTATTGCTACTGTAACCTCTACTCTATTGGACTTGGCTGAATCAAAAATATGCAACCATCGGGACCAAATCCTAAGACCTAATCAGTATCGCTGCAGAGTCTGCAGAGATGGTTCTGAGCTCAATGAATCAGTAACAGATTACCTGAAAACAACTATATCAATTGCCTGGTAGGACTTCGTGCTTCCCACCAGGGTTATTACAAACAAACATTAATGATGATGTGTTTCGCTTACTTGTAGTAGGGAATCTCTTCTTTCAGATATACTTCAATTTAAAACAGGTCTGTTGACATAAAACAACTGTTATGATGTCATCCAATCGGGAACTTGGATGCTTCGATGAATAGTGACATTTAAGCTCCCGATTGGATCATACAGCTCATCAAACGTCAACAAACGTCTGTAAATAAATCAAAATATAGTTATGTACAAATGCACATGCACAGTACTTTGCTGAAAACTTGCTCAATTAGGCAAATACCATTGGGACCTTTCAATTCTGTTTGTAACCAATACAAAGGTTAACTTTTGATTGGAAATTGTTTTTCAACTTCATTAAAAATTGTTGATTTTTTTCTTTCATATTTCGTTTCTGAAATAGAGTAGTATATTCTTTTAACACCTTTCAAATCTTTAGAAATGTTTTAATTGTATACACCATGTTTCAAACGTTTTAGTTTTTTTCACCATTAATAACATTGAAATCTTTTCACATCTTCATAAATGTTTTATATGTTTGCACAGTGTTTTTTTTTTTCCTCTCTCTCTCTCTCAGAATTAATAACGTTGTGACTTGTATATTATCTAAATGATATTTTCTTTGTTGTTTATGTAGATTCAAGTCGTGTTGAAAATGCCGAGGAAGCGTGGGAAGCACCATTGAGTCCTAGTGACTTAGAATCACCACCTCCGTGGGTACCTGATGGTGAAGCTCCTCGTTGTATGTCCTGTGAAGCAGTGTTTACAGTTGTGCGACGACGACATCACTGTCGGAATTGTGGGAAGGTTTGTATTTATGCAGTATGAGAATGAATTCACCCAAAATGGGGATTAAGTTTGTACTAATACTTCCCTTTACATGTCATTGGAGTATTGGCTGAAATGCAATTGGCAGGCCGCATTCCATTTAACATTAGCATATATATTTACTTCATGGTTCAGGAATAAAGAATCATAGTTTACTGAGATCTCAATATCATGATATAGTAATATCACATTATAATGCATAGCTGAACCATATATACTGTGAATACATTTATTTATTATAGAGAAGTTAGCCCAAGAAAGGAACAAAGTGAGAGCTAGTACCTGCCTACTGCTGGCTTGCCTGAAGGCACATCTGAACAATAATATCTCAGTGTTCATACCATTGTTTTAGCAGTAGGGAACCAGTTAGTTATTTTCACACACTTATTGCCCACACATCTCACACACATTTGCTCATCAGGCTAAGAGATTATGAAAGAATCAGGATATAGATGAATTTCACGAGCGATTTAGATTGCCACCCATGCCACAAACACCTCAAAATGTTCATATCTTACAAGATTTTAAACTCGCAGGCTTGGTGTCAATGTACTTGAACTCAGCTGCTTCGAGCCCAAATTTCAATAGGCCAAATCACTTAACCATTCTGTTTGGAATCATGTTAATAATAAATTGATCAAACATAGTATATAACTAAAACTTCCTTTTTATGCATTTGCAGATTTTAGTATGCTTGTAACATAGAATCTATGGATCTATAACTTCACAACATTCTTCACACAAAAAATTCCAAACTTTTGCAATTTTCGAAAATTCAGATCAATTACAGAGATAATTGGACATATGCCATTGTTTTAAGTGTTCTTTGCTCTATTCTCTCAAGAAATTTAAAGAAACAGTTTCAAAACATTTTTGTTAAAACTTAGAAAATGCCCAAGGGTTTCACAGAAAGTACCCCCAAAATTCAAAGAATTAACTTCCTTTTTGCAGGGTCTCAAGTTGGGCTAGATCGATTGGGGAATATTCATTTTGTAAAATTATTGCAAATGTTGCTAGTGCTTCAACAGACATAAAAAATATTAAATTGTAAATATCATTTGAAGCAAGTATAATTAAAATGTTATTAAAAGTCGATGAAGTCAGTGAAAAATGCTTTAAAAATGATGGAAAAAAGTAAAAATTACATATTAGTTGAAAACAACAAAAAATGCAAAACAAAGTCGTATGAAAATGGGTCATTCCTTTTGTCATAGCAAAAATTAATGTATATACTAAAAGGGTGTTAATTGTTGAACACTGAATCCATACTTCCATCAAGGTGCATTTTTAATTTCAATCTCATGCAATCACAGATTTGCACTTGGTGAGCATTGTTCCATTAGGCCATGTAAGTCCTCATTCAGCCTAAGAGGTTACAAAATATGTTGCATTTCATTTGCTGTGCCATTCATATGAGATTCTCTGTTTACTGGCCCCATTCAAAAATATCGCCCAGGATATTTATTATCGTATAGCATATTGTTACGTCAATGAAGTTGAATCAAAATTTCTATTATGTTTTTTCAAGTCTAAAACTGATTATGAGATTATTTGCCAATGGAACATTGTTCATTTTCAATATCTTAATTCAGTTGAAAACACTAGAAGATGTGTTGGACGTAAGTGTGTGAGAAGTGGGAAAATAGCCACTATATTTTTTTTATTTTATTACCAGCGTAAAATTGCGATCAAAAAATGTTTCATTAATTTAACCTCTACATAACTAATGTTACACACAAATATGCAGAAAGTGATGAAGAGATTATTTCTTTTAGACGAATAAAAATTGTTTATGTTTTACAACTAAAAAGTAATAGAAAATGAGATAAAAGTACTATAGTTTTTATTATGTTGGTCTTGACCTCGTATTATAAATATACTTGGAGATTTGTGAGGGTAGGGTTTTTGTTAGCCCTGAAGCAGGTCCAATAAATGGCTGAAACGTTGACTTTGTATAAAACACTTTTAATGGTCTACCCTCATGATTCTCCACGTTATGTCTATACTAGCTAATCATTGTGACCTACAAACTGCATTATAATTGAGGAGAAGTATTGTAAAAGACTAAATAACTATATTACTATGATGAATTGTATTTTAAAGATGTATCAAGACAAATTTTAGACATAAGTTGCAATCCTCAGCCATTTCTAACAGGGATTACTCTTACAAACAAATATTTGAATAAAATAAAATAAAATATAAAAATGAATTTTGACTGATGTAAAGTTTTATTTGCAGGTATTCTGTGCACGATGCAGTTCCAATTCTGTGCCACTGCCTCGTTATGGCCATGTTAAACCTGTCAGAGTATGTAATCGATGCTTCCTGTACCAAGTGACTCCTTTTACTGTGGAGGATATGACAACAACACGTTCTTAGTGTATGTATTCCTTTTCTAACATTAGTAAAAATATTCTACTTTTTCTCAACTCTCTCCAACTGAAATTATTTGAGATAAACAAGATATCTTTTCTTGTCAGTAGAATAAAAATAGAACAGTTGTTGTTCTGCCTGTTCTTCAAGTATTTTTATTTATATTAGGTTCTAAATTACACTACAGGTGTAACGAGCAATCCATTAATCGAAGTAGCAAGTTGTATTGTAATTTGTAGGGATCTGCGTTCTCCGTGATTTTAAACTGGCTCACGCTTGCTCGCCCCGCCTTTTTCTTAGGACCATGCACTGAACCATTCTGGTGGGCTTTTTAAAATAAATGATGAATAATTTCCATCTTAAAATTTAATTTATAAATAAAGTATTAAATATAATTATATTCAATGTTATTCATCAAAATTTGCAATTTGCAAAATTTGTTTAGACTTACTGAGACCCTAGAGAATCTGCAATGTTTGGAACTACTGAAGTTCATCCTGAAATGGTATTCACAGGTTTATAGATTTTGATTTATTTGGTGGGGGGAATGACGAGAAACCAAATGTGTAAGATTTTATTCTAATGATCATTTTAAAATCTTTTGGTAACTACAAGAATTATAAAAAAATTACAGTTCTGTAAGATTTTTAATTTTGCCTATTATGAGAATGTATTTTTAGGCATATTTAACTTTTGTAAGTTACTCAATCACCCGTGTTTTAAAATTTTTATTTGTTGCATATGTTTGAATTTAAACTTGCTTACTCTTAGGATTAAGTATTAAGTATTAAGTTTAAAAAAAATTAAATATTTTAATTATTTCATTGAATGTGCTCTTTTTCCTTCTGAAAACAGGGTATGATTCATAACTCATGAACTGTTAAACATTTTTCCATTTTAAAATTGTTATTTGGATTATACTTTAATGCTTGATTGATTAGGGACTTTTAAGTACTTTATAGGTATTTGAATTAGAACTTTTAAAAATAACTGGTAACAATATGAATTAACAAAGTAATTTGCTATTACTAATATGCATTTTCTACTACAATTTTAAGTTTAGTCACAAGAATTCACTTCCTGCTATTAAATAAAAAATCAGTCATAAATATATCTTCAAAATTAGAAGAGTTATGATTTTTCAATCTCTTCAATTCATCAAACAAGAGAAAAACTAACTTTAGGGAAAAGCCAAATTAGTTCTAAAATGCTCCACGATAATAAGTTACACCTTCAACTTTCGTTTCCTTTTTCACCTTTGTCTGACATATCAAGTATCTCCTGCTTTTTCTTTTGGGAGTGGTCTGTTTTTACTTTTCATGTACACCTAAACCATACATAGAATTTTTTCCAAAATGGCTATTCCTCAGTTGATCTGGCTCGACTCAAAGCTTTCCGATTTTGCAAAACATTCTTTAAAATTTCAGGAAACTTTACACTAAGCCTCTAGGACATTTTCAAAATTTTCTCAAAAATGGCTTCAAATTTTTTCTTTAAATTTTTGGCAAGAATAGAGAAACACACTTACAAAGATGCCTTAGGTTAATTTTTTCACTAAATTTTCAAAAATTGTAAAAGTTTGAAATTTTTTGGCTTATTCCTACTATTACACAATTTAAGATAGAGGTTTTTCATTCTAGTACAATTTTTTCTTCGTAGCTAGTTCTTTCATTAAGGTTTTTCAGTTTATCTCTCTCTCTCTCTCTTTTTTTCTTTTTTCTTTCTCCCTCTTCCAAAATGTTATTTTCACAAAAATTGCATGTAATGTGTGCAATATTAAAAATGTTTTTAAAAAGGCTAGATTTTCTCAAAAACCGCTCCAAATTTTTTTTCTTCAAAATTCTTGTAAGGATTGTTCTCCCTGTATGCTATGTATCCATTTAGATCTTGACTTTTGATTTTTCTAATATTACAAAAATGTAATTTTTTTGGCAAGCCTCTCACTTTATAATTATTTAGATTAGAAGCAATTTCTTGACACAATTGCATTTCCGAGTGCATTATTCTTTAAACTATGTCTTATAAAGTTTCTCCAAAACTCAAAACTTTTCTGTGAAAAGGATCTGGAATTTCCACATCTTCAGAAACCTTCAAACCTAATTTTCTAAAAAATGGCTCCAAAGTTTTTCTTTGTATGGATAGTGCTAATTGAACTGTTTAAAGACAAAATCAATGTAATTTTGCCATGTTCTTTCGCTTTTTCATTAAATACAAATGAATTTTTTTTTAATCTTTCTCACCATTAATATGTGCATTTCCAGTAGTTTATGTACATTATTGCACTTGTAAATGGAAGTGCTTCAAATTAATTTTTTGAAAACTCAAACAATTTCTGTGGAAAGAGCTTTAAATTCTGCACTTACAATAATGTTTACACTTCATTTTCTTAGAAACCGCTCCAAATTTTTCAACGAAAATTTTCATTTTGGATGAAGTTTTACTCTTCTTTCATATCCTTAAAGTAATATTTCAGTTCTACTACTCGGAAACGAAAAATTTGGAAACTTAAAAAAATATATACTTTGGGTGACGATAAATAGCAGCCAGCAAAAGTAGCTAGCCCAGACCAAAGCTAATACAAAACAAATATGAGGAAGTCAGACAATCTGTAGCACCACTAGTTTTTGATATAAAATAAATTTTACTGTATTATTTGTTTTTTTCAAAAATTACACAAATGAATCTTTTTGAAATATCTCTCGCACCATTAATTTGCAGTTTCAACAATTTGTATACATTATTTCATTTGTGAATGAAAGTGCTTCAAATGACTTCAAATTAAGTTTTTCAAAACACAATTAAGGTTCCCGTGAAAAAGGGCTACAAATTTCACATTTACATTAAGCATAAACGATTTTTTTCTTTAAAACAGCTCCCAAATTTTTCTAGAAAAATTTCCATATAGGACTTGGTTTTACTCTTCTTTAATATTCTAAAAGTAATATTTCAATTCTACAATTAGGAAACCGAAAAATTAAGAAAACTTCAAAAAGTGTGTTTTGGGCAGCAATAGGTGCCTACTAGCAAGACCCTAAAGCTAGCCCAGACCAAGGAAATTAGAAAACTTTTGTGCAAGAAAGTCAGTGCAATTCTGTAGCACCACTAGTTTAGCTGTTTGATGTTTCTTTGTCACACACAATCAACAAATAAAGTATTGAAAAGTACGTATCGCAGACAGACAGAGACTTTTCTCATTGTCAAGTGAAGATCCACAAAACGTGGATTCTGGCTACACAGTGTGTTAGAGGAATTAATTTACATATGAAAACAAAAATTATCAATTTTTCAGTTTGAGGGTCCTACATTGCAAATTTGTATCTAAAAAAATCGCTATTTTGCACCCTAGCATTATAGTATACCTTTTTCTGTATGCAAGAAATTTTGTGTAAAAATTCACCCAATTTTGTGTAAAAATTCAAATTCTTCTCTCAATTTTTTTTTTAGTTGATCTCTCTGCAATTGACTTAAATCTGAATTTATCTTCATTAGTGCCTTGCTTTTATTTTTTAGTATCAAGATTGCAGTGTAAGAGTGATCAAATGCTTTTGGCATAGTTAAATGTCCCAATCTAATATAAGTTTTGATATCACAATTGTTTGTATAAAATTTTTTTTAGTATTTTTAATACCTTCTCACCATTTGACATTTTCCATGCTAATTTGATTCAACTTTTAAAATCATCTTCATTGTATAATGTAAAAGTATTCCTATGTTTCTATCTATCAGTGATCTTACTTCGATATGTATTGTACTTCAATAGTAAGTTTGTACTATTGGACATCACAGATTGTTTTTTCTTGTTCAATAAAGTCTTTGGTTTTTTATTTTCGAATGCTAGTTTCAACAAGTTTGATGGAATTTTTGGTAGATATATCAAACTTTCTTAAGAGCCTAATCAAAAACATTCATGGTACATTTTGTAAGCTCCAAGCATCTAATCTTGGAGAATGTAATTTCCATTATATCTGAATGAAAAGGCCTTTGACAGTTTCTGAAATTGAAGCATTTACATGTTTTTTCATCACAGAACAAATTGCAAGTGCTACATATATGTTGAACATAATCTCACCATCCATCATGTTTGTAAATCTTCTATTTCAACAAATATTGATCAATATCACTGAATGAAATATTCTTCAAAATCGATACACTTCCAGGATTGCAAAAATGTGTTCAATTCATCTTTTGTAAACAGATTAACTAGTTATAAAAAAATTAATTATAAAAAGTAATTTATATGGCAATTGTGAAAATTTCAATCCAAAAAAGTTCTAGTTTCTTCGATAAAATTTGTATGTTAAAACAAACATTCAATCACAACTCCTAACCATTTAAGAATTATGCACAAAGCTTAGATAAAATTGCCTCTCCTTCCTATTGCAATTTCATTCCACAGCCATCTGTTACGTGAAAATGTTGAAAAAGATCCTACTGAAATGTGTTATCCTTTCAAAAAATTATTGTTCTTGCTACACGATTAAGAAACTACTCAAGTTTGTTTATTGCAGTTGTATACTCTGTGAGTCCTAGTCCTTGTTTATTGTGTCATGTTTTGTTGCAGGTACAAGAGGTTCCTAGGTATTTTCAAATGAAGTCCAGTCAATTAGTTTCTGCAGGTCTGATCCTGGCTGTAGTGGCTAATTATTGTATGTATTCAGTGTGCAAATTTGCCTTGTAAATTGGATTACAGGCTTACAAAGTAGTGGTGGGCATAATTTAATTACTGAACGAAGGTATTTTTATCTGATTTATAGGTGCTTGCCAAATTTCTTCTTGTTTAGTTTTTGACCCTCAGTAATTGCAATTCATATGAAAATTTGATAAAAACAATATTTTAATACAAGTGTTTAACTTTTTTATTATTTTTAATGAATTATTTTGGCTATTGTGTGTCAAGATGAGAACTGTATAGTTTGTAGAAATTACTTACACATGTTAAGAAAATTATATATTTTTGAAAGTTCTATGAACTTCTTTGTAACAAACACTTAATTTTTCTAAAGTTTGAAATTTGATATCATTGCGGTCTAGATTCTTTAAAAAAATAACAATCATGTTTTCAAGCAGTTTCTTATTCTTCATCTACATATGTATTTTTTATTTTTCATTTATAAATTGTTAACAGAATAATGCCACCACTATTTTGTATTAAAAATGTGGTTGTGAATTTTTGCCGTGTTTTTTGTGCAATAGCAGCTGGTTGTTTTTATATCTTGAGGGTTAAAGAACCACAGGTTTATTATTCTGACTATTAGTCTGACCTTGTGTAAAATAATATTTGTATGTTTTATGAAATTTTTATTTTATGTATGATTTGTGAACACTGTAAAATATTCTACTATATAAAGAACATTCTAGAAACTTTGTGGGGTTGAAACGTTACTTAGCAAGTCTTGTTCTTGTTCTAGTTGATAATAATATGCAAAGATGCATTGTAAAATTTATAATGAAATTTCACTGATAATGTATATAGGTTAATGTGGTGTCTAATCCACACAAATGATAAGAGATGAGATCATATGCAATTACTTATTAAGTTTTTTTTATTTTATATTAATTGTAAGAGAAAATATATGAAATGAACCTGCATGGTTTCCACATTGTGAATACTTATGAATATTTTCAGTCTATACATGCTGTAATTAAAAATGCTTGTTATTGTGACCATTTTTAACGGGTATCTTAATAACAAGATCTGCTTTAAGATCTGAAAAAACATTTACTTGCATTTACTGATAAATGATATGCTTACTTTTTCTTTATACACTCATTGCATGATTATTGCTTTTGAAAGTAGATGTAGCTCCTTATCTTTTGCATTTTGTATTCTTTTCATTGTATCTGTGTGAGTATGTTTGCTTGGTATTGGACTAAATTTAGGGAAAGGACTACTACTATCTACTTTTCTTTAATTTCCTTTTATAAAAACAACATTCAAGGTTACAATAACTTTCCAGAACTGATAAATAATTGTCCATGCTCTTTATTTGTGCCTTATCGTATCCCTGGAGCTCACACGCTGCAATGATACAAACTGGCTCACTTACTAATTATAGTGCTAGATTAAATGATTTGAATTATTAAATTCTTGTGTGTACTCTGAGGAAGTGTTTTGGATATGCATAATTGTGAGAAGCACACAGCTAGTCAGTGGTGTATAATGCAAAGTGAACATTTTGGATTATAGCAATAAAGCTTACGGAATGTAGTTACATTTAAAATTACACATCACTATTGTGGTTTTATAAACATCCCAAATATAGTTTGTTTTACAATATTATATGAATAACTTATTTAATAGGGAGGTTTCAAGAAAATGTGTTATGTAAACGTAACTTAAGTTACAACGAGAAACTATTTTGTTTCAAATGCATTGTGTTATTGGGTCTCAAGCGAAACGTTGTAATAAATATTACATTTATACATTGCCTTCCATGCACCAATTTTTGTTCATTATTTAAGGTTTTGTTGATTATGCTTTGTTATGTATTAGCAGGCAAACATTCCTGTTTTATGCACGCAATCTTCTTTGCAGACATGAAAAGAAATATGTTTATTTGTTGTTTCTCTGAACATCTTGGAGCTTGTCTTAGGTAATAATCAGTTTTTGTTTTGTGTATATAATTTGACCAGTTTGAGACTTTTTTGATGAAGAAAATTCCATGTTTTCAGCACATCTCTATGTTGTTCAAAGAAAGACCATAGTAACTGTGTGGGATTTGAGGTGACAAGTCACATTTTGTTGCTGTTTTAATTTTCTTTGATAATATATTTTGTTTTATGTATTTACTTTTAAGATGAGGATATTTTGTAAACTTTACACTGATAGGGTTATTAAGTGTGTAAAAATAAAGGGATGAACTTAATGGAAATAAACAAGCAAATGTGATATTTGTTGTTGATTTATTACTTTCCAATGTACTAAATAATAATCAATCTGCTTTTGAAATGCAGTTGATTGTTCTTTACTCCTACTCCCTTTCATTTTTAGAGGGGGGGGGGGGGTAAAAATGATGCCACTTATGGAATATTAGCTAAGTTATTATTCTAAGTATTAACTAAGATAAAGTAATAGTTGTGCATATTCTCTCTACAGGTTATACTGAACAGTTATAGGTATGATGTGCAAATTACAAATTCAATTATACATTTAAAACAAATTTTCTTTAATGTGTTTACATAATTAATTTCTACAATGGTTACAAATCAAACTGCTGAAACAGAATACATTCTGAAACTTGCCTAATTTGGGTTCATTGTTTTACTTAGAAAGTACATCCTGAAATTTTTACCTTGTTTTGATACAATTCAATATCCTAGATGAAGTATTTTTATAACTTCCCATATTAATTTAACTTATACAAGGTCTTTAACTTCTAAATCCTGATATTGTATGTCTACTAGATATTGCTTCAAATTTTGACGTTTCTTAATTGTTTGTTAATTATGTGATAAGGACAATCTGTAAATACTTCCACGTAGATAATAGGAAGTTGTTCAAGGTAAATTAAAACTGCAACAGGGCTATGAAAGAAGTACATAGTTTACTATCAAAACATTTTCATAGCTCAATGATGAAAGAACGAATATTCTGAAACAAGAGCTAACTAAAGTATTATTTGTATACCTATCTGCAATAAAATATCAACACTTTTGTGATTTTATTTTATTTATATATATATATATATATATATATATATATATATAATTTGTAATATTATTCTCAAACTACGAGAATACCAGGAAAATTATAAATCAGATTTACTAAACGTATAACAAAAGTTGGGTGGAATTTTGATACTCGAAAGTAATAATTTGAAGTTCGCGCGAAGATAACATTTGGTCAAGTCGACATCAATCTACAAACACAATTTGGTAGACAAGCAGTGTCAGTGTGGTAACGATTCGATGTTGGTATTGTCGCCAAAAATCGGTAATCCAACGTAAATTAACGCATGTAACTTCCTTAACAATGGTATATTAGCATCGGTTTAATGTTGCCTACATTGCCTGTGAAATCACTGAAGGCTCCAGAGAGCGTTGAGATCAGAAAACGAACAAAGTGTTTTCAAAGAATATCCTGAGTATGGAGGGAATCGCCCTAGCCGTTTTGGCGCTAGTTGTGCCCCGCAACATGGCCGTCTTGAACCTGTCAAGAATGGTCTGTGTCAGTGGTGGTACAATACGTTTCATTATTTCAAACGTTGTGAAAATAACGTATAGCATTTCATTATTGCAGTGACAAAAATATTTTTACGATATGAAAATGTCATAGAATAGCCTTGATTAACTTACATTTAATAATGCTTTTGAAAGTAAATTTCTAAAATTTAGGTTATGGAATCGTCTTGGATGAATTGCTCGAGTTACATGATCTTTTGTGGTATATTTGATTCTGTGCCGAAGAACTTACTCTTTAAGTGAAAGGTGTCAATGAAGATTTTCCGTCAATGTTTGTTTTACATTTTAACAGCTTGTTTCTATGCGATAAGGAAGAAAATTAAGTGACATTCTCGATCTTGTTTGGTATGAGGTGTTAATGCGGCTTCTTGTTAAACTTGTTTTAAGTGCGACGATTGAATAAATAGACACGAATACACTACAATGCGACAAAATTACAACATTCCTGCATTTGAATGTGTTTCTGAAGTGTTGCAATGAAATGTTAAAATAAGGAAAGGCAAAACGTTCTTACGTCGTATTTCGTGTGTTACGTTTTTAAACAGCCATCACAGCTGAATTTTCTGTGATGAGAGCCTTACTTGATGCTCTGTTTTTGCAGGACATTGTTTTGCGTTTTTATCTAAAGTTTAGGTATTAGGTTGAAATTTAAGATACTCTGTTATAGGAATCAGCCCAATTTTATACAAGCGACTTGAGATATTTATTTGTTTAAATATTTGAATGAGAATGTCATGTATCTCAATAGATTAATTTATTGTTCCATTTTAAATGTGTTAATAATTATCTTTTGAGAAATGTAGAATGCATAATCTCAATTACGGCTTAGCAATTGATTAGTTATTTTCAGGACTGTGAATGTGAAAGCTTGTTTTTTCGTTGCATGCTGAGGCCACCCATTCTAATGGTAAAGCAATGACCAGCGAGTTATCTAGTGGTAAAATCATTGTAAGAATTAAGAAGGACAAGAACATTACACATGCCAATCGTTGCAATGATATGCATATAATGTAAATCTCAAATAGAAAATGAGTTATATATTTAGCGAGAATCTCATAGAATCTAAGGATTTATGATTACATGTCCTTACATGATGGGTAGTTATTCTGAAAGAGCTTTGTAGCCTCATTAGAAAATAATAGTGAAATTAATAGGTTTTTAAAACTCTCGCTTCATTTTTCATTAGACATACCTTTTAAAAGAAATTCTCAAACTTCTTAGAAGAGTTGTCAGTTAGAATGAAAGTGAATGATTGACCAAATAATTTGTTAATAAAGAAAATGCCAAAAGTTATTTACAGTACTTCTCTGAAAAATATGTTATTTATTTAAAGATATTTGTAATCTTCATTGGGTTTTTTAAGATGTCAGTTTATGAAGTGCATATATTACTGTAGTATCTTTTGAAAGCGAAGCGAGTGAGAAGTCTATATATTTTTCAATGGAATATCTAAATTCTATTATTTCTGTATTCCCCTTTTGTTTTATAATCAATGATTTACCTGTTATTACTTGTTGTATATACACCAGTTGAACTGAAACAGGATATTATAGATGATTAGTTAAGGTTTTAGTATATTGTATGTGAAATTTCTTTTCTTCTTGCAGATGTGAATCTAGTCCAATTGCAAATTTTGTAATTTGATTTTTTGTTTACAAGTGTTGAAATTTCTTCACCTATGCTCTTTGAAAAATTAAAAGAGCTCTTTAAGGTATTCTTTTCTTCAAGAAATTCATTTAATATTAAGAATCATTCTGGAAGATTTTCAATAATGCAGCAGAAACAATGTTCAACACTTGTAATAGAATGTGTACTACTGTAAGTATTTATTGAGCCACTTGCCTCAACTGTTTTCAACCTTGCTCAGGGTCTTAATCAAGTCCTGATCAAGACCCCCAACAGTAAAGGCAAGAAGTTAAATTAATTAAGCTGCTTAGAATGATAGTAAAAAATAGTGACTAATTTCAGGTGTCATTTGTAGTAGATTTTCAGTAATAATTCAATGGCAACTAAAGGATATTCTCTTTTTTGTTGCATTATAAATAGCTCCCATAAAATTTAATATTGGATTAGTTTAAATATAATTAATATGAACACTTTGTGAGAACCACTGGAGATGGGATATGTTTTATTTCTTTGAAATCATGTTTCCATGTAGAGGCATATGTGTGCACCATGCAGAACTTTCATAGAATTGTGTAAGACTAATTAAAAAAAAAAAACATTTTGAAGGCCATGTGTTGTTCTTCCCTAACTTGGTGGGAGAATGATATATTTGTGTATTTTATTGATCTTTTATATCAGCATTAAGCTATCTTACAATGTTTCAGATTGCTGTTTCTAAAAGGAGATACCAAGTGGGTATTAGGCTGCCCAGAGGGAACATATTTCTGACTTCTGGAAGAAAATCATCCTTCAAAGAACAAGGAGAAGAAAAAGAAGAAAACAACAGAAAATATGCCTTGAAAAGGAAGGTGACTGTACAAGTATATGTATTGTAACTGCTGATGTTTTCAACAATGTTCTACAATCTAACGTTTTATACATCTGACTTAGAGACATGCACACTAAAATGGTCACAGCTCTTACAAGAATACCCTCCATTTAATATGAAGCTATTAAAACATATCCTGTGCTCAATACTGTACGTTTATTAGAATTTTATATTTTGTTTTTATACTTATAACAGGATTGTTTTCTATATTTCAAAATCTAGGTTTCCAGTAACTTTTCCTCCAAATATCAGTAAAAAGAGAAATAACTTAAATTAAGTTTTGAAGTTCCTGTAAGTCATCATTAACCACATTCATTGTAATTTTTCATTCAAAGAAATTGTAGGTTAAAGAATGAAAGAAAAGTGTCAAAATAAGGACAGTATACTAATTGGATGTGTGATAAACATAGTAATTTAAAATTAACTTCTTATTATGCTGAAATGTTTTTATTATGTTACAATTGTTTGTTTACTAAAATGTGAAGATTAATGTTTTTGTTTTCAGTTATTGAAAATTTTTGCTTTTAATAATGTCTTATTGCCACATGTGGTTGTTGACATTGCTTTCGTTGCAATGGTTTCTCACTGTACATGCCTGCCCTTCCTCTTGTAAATGTATGTGGAAAGGCGGCAAACAGACTGTGGAGTGCATTAACGAGAAGCTTATAACAATTCCAGATGGAATCAATCCTGGAACTCAAGTATTAGACTTCTCTGAGAACAATCTCCAGGTCCTACCGCGAGAACGCTTCCAAAGAATGGGTTTAGTCAATTTACAGCGCATATATTTGGTTCGATGTCGCATCAGCCAGATTGATGAAAGAGCATTTAAAGGCCTAACTAACTTGGTTGAGTTGGATTTATCACACAACCTGCTCAACTCAGTACCCACAGAAACGTTTGTTGATTATCCCTCTCTGATGCGTCTCACATTTAATGGAAATCCTATTCAGAAAATAAAAGCCATGGCATTTACACATCTGACATATTTAACCACTCTAGAACTTAGTAACTGTCAAATAGAAGTCATCGAACCTGAAGGGTTTGCGGGTCTAGGAAATCTAGAATGGCTTAAACTTGATGGAAACAGGTTGAGTAATGTTCAGGGATCAAAGACTTTACCTGAATCTCTGCATGGTATTTTATTACATCGCAATCCCTGGCAATGTGACTGCCGCCTTATGGACCTGTACTTCTGGCTCCATACCTACAATGTTCCTCATCCATTGGAACCCAAATGCGTTGCACCTCAACGTCTGCAGGGTGAAACAATTAGGTCCTTAGAGTTGGCTGATCTCGCTTGTCTGCCAGATGTCTCTCCTACAACGCTGTACTTAGAAATTGCAGAAGGCAAGAACGTGTCCCTGCTTTGCAGGGTTTCCGCTATTCCAGAAGCGAGAGTATCTTGGTGGTTTCAGGGAAGAATTTTGCAGAACGATTCGATGGTTGCCCCAGGCATTCACTTGTACTATTTCGTCGAAGAAGGGAACGAAGAAAAGCGCAGTGAATTATTTATTTTTAATACGAACACCGATGATAACGGTACGTTCGTCTGCGTGGCCGAGAACCCCGCCGGCAAAGCGCATTCCAACTACACCATCCGCATCGTCGTGAAAGAGGAGCCGTGGTGGGCGTGGCAACTTTTCCTTACGAGTAGTCGGTAACGGTTTCGACAGTGTGTTCAGTGTTGGTCATGTTTCTGGTGACGTGCGTATAGTGTGGCGGTGCGGTGCCAGCGATCCCGCCAGCGCCGCACAAGGAAGGAGCGTAGCAAAGCGGTGGCGCTGCAGCACCACTTGCTGACGGTGGGCAAGGGCCCCCGACGACGCGTGCAAGCAGATCACGCGCCTGACGGGCGGCGACAAGGCGCCGGCCTCGGGCAACGGCGAACGGCGACGTGTCGGAGCGCGAGCGGCGCGCGGGCGACGCGGCGGGGGCGGCGCCGGGGGCGGGGCCGGCGCGGCGGCGGCGACCCGAAGCCGCGCGCCCCGCCGGCGGGGGCGGCGCTGGCGCCAGCCGCAGTCGCTGCGCAACTACGCCCTGGAACAGAACCCCGACTCATCACGACACGGAGAGCGTGGCAAGGAGCGGCGGGCGGTCGGAAGCGCGGGGACGGCGACGGCGGCGACAAGCGCCCCCGGCGACCCGAGCACGACCCCACAGCGCCAACACAGCTACCAAGAGGCCATGGAGAACATCATCCACGACTTCGACCCGCACGAGAACGAGTCCTTCCTCCTGCACTCGCACGGCCCCCAGCCCTGGAGGGACGACGCGCAGTACCCGCTCCACGTGACCACGTTTGCCCCGCGGGCAGGCGCGCCCGCGCCATGTACCAGCACCACCACACTGCCGACGTGCACCTGTCGCCGGCGCGGTTCCTCGACAGCGACGGCTACCCATCGACTACAGGTCTCCCCAAGCTGCCCCTGCATTCCGCCGTGATGGGCGACGCCCCCGCCCCTGCCGCCGCGGCGCCGGCTTCTTACCGCACGTTGCCGCGCAGCCGGCCGTCCCGCCTCGAGACGGTGGGGAGCGCCCGCTGCGCACGCCCGCCCGATCCCCAGGCCTACGAGCGCTACAGCCCCGCCCACGTTAGGTATACCGCAGAAGGCTACCCGTGCCCCCAGACCAAGGCGACGTACCCAGCCACGGAGCAGCACGTTTCTTTTTCGGACGACACCTACTTGCCGTCGCCCCCCGCGCCGTACAAAGGCGAGCCCACCATTCCCCCCATCCCCGTCTGCGTCGCCGAAGACGCCGTGGCCGTGGGAACCTTGATTGTGGGAGAAAACCCTTCCCTCCAGGCAGACCCAGGATTATGGGCTGCAAACACTCACGCTTTTCACATTCAAAATATCCACTTTTCAGAAACCATTAATACAGCATCTATATATTGTGGTCCCCCTGAGAAAATAACACAGTGCTGTGCTGGATCACAGACTTGTGAAGAGTCAGGGGAAGTTACCAGAGGCATTCTCAAGAAACCAGTCCAAGATGCAGAGAGAGTGGTAGCCTTGTCATTACCTGTGGATGATAATTGTGATGATGCTGCAAATGATGCAAAGATTTAAAGTTGCCTGCAGCAACAAAGAATGTCTTTCAATGAACTGGAATAAGCTACTACGTCTCCCACTTATGTCTCACTGAAGCTCAAAGACTTAGGCTGAAGCCTTTGTAAAGCAGAATTAGTTTTTGGCTCACAACAAATTTTCGGTTTGATCTACTATTAATTACAGTATCATTCAGAAAAGCAACTGACATCTGAACAAACGTTTTTCAATGTATTTTTGTGCTAATTTTGAAAAAGAAAACCCTTTCTTTGTTATTCATCATGTTCTTCCATAAATGAAGTTCATATTTGATCAAAACTTCCCTTTTAATAAGTGTCTGGAGTCTGAAGAGTTTTGGATACAAAAAAAATTTACAAAATAGAAAAGAACTTAAAAGATTTTAAATGTTCACTGAAAGGAAGGTTGTAATAATTTTTATGTTTCGTTCACTGTGGGTGAAATTTCTGCTTTCTGGATTTTTGAGCATCTCCATCTCCTGTCTTTACCTTTTTCTATATCCAGTATCCCATATTGTATTCACATTGTAACTGCTTCCAAATACATTTCTTTTTTATTTTAATGTGTTTTTGACAAGATTTCTGAAAAATGCTCAATATGGTAAATATAGAAAATATATTTCAAAATTATCTTCTCCTGAAATTTGTGAAGACTTCTCACATTTCTATTTTGATGGGTGTTTTTGTAGTAGCAGAGAATCCTATGAATTATGGCCTGACAGCTCAGACATACCCTTGACTTTGTTTCATTCTTGCTCTCTTCAGATGAAGTGTCAATCAGGAGTTGCTGATATATAAATGTTTTGTAATATTTAGTTATTCTTCTTCCATTTTCCAAGGGGTGGTCTTGGAAATATTTCTTGAGGATGATTAAAACAGGCTACTTTTGAATGCTTGCTGAGTGCTTTCTCCCAACAGTTGTAACATATATGCTGGAGGGTAGGTCTGAAAATGATGTGTTAGATAGCAAAGTCAAAATTTTGAGAATTTGTTACTGTAATACTGGTGTGATTTCTAAAAGTCAGTGCTAAAATGGGTTAGCAACAATTGACTTCAAGAAATAGATGTTAAAGCAAGCCATAAAATTATAGTATAATATTTTTTGTAGTATTTTGGGTTCAATATTTAATTATCCCATTGATAATTTGGTCAATAATGAACATTGAAGTTACATCCACCATTAAGTATAAAACCAGTACTCTTATCAGAGGCCAACCTGCATGCACTTCATACATGAAAGTACAATGATTGCACTTTTATGTATTTGTTACAAAGTGTGTTTTAGTGTTTTATAAGGTGTTTGAAGATGTTGTAGTGGTAGATAAAAGAGAAATGGGGAATAGTGTACAAAATGCAAAGAACAATCCCATAAAACGTTTTTTTACGGGTGATAAATTAAGGTAGTCCAAATAATGTAATACAACCACCAAGAAACAAAAGCTCTTGTGTATGATTAGATAGAAACAGTCATATGGAAAGAAAGCATTTATAAAACTATTTGATATTATATTGTTGCGTAGATGATGAATTTGTTTTCAGTGAAGAAAGTGAATTTGTTTGGGTGCTCCACCATTAGGAGTCATCTTACTTTTACAGGGTATGCAATAAGAAAACATAATGATGAAACATCGGATATTTCAGGTTACCTTATTTGAACAGGTGATTTTTTTGTCAAAAAAAGTTCTTTGATATGTATATTTTACAGGAGTGCAGTAAAAAAGGAAATATTTGAGATTCATTAGCAGACTTCGTGTATTGTAAAATTCTGATTAATATTTGTAGAAAAGGGTCATATTTTAGTACACCAATGGACATTAGCTTTTTTCTGTGTGATTGTGAAGTGAAACGAGTGTGAAGTGATTGATGAAAGAAGATAAAGAATTTGAGATTATGAAGATTTTCAAGAAAATAAAAAAATATATATGGCTGCTGTGATTTAAATTGAAAGCTGGCAGCCTCTTGAGTCGCTCATTACAAGGTGTGGTTATTAAAAGATAGGCTACATCCGTACAGATATGACAGTGCTGCTAATCAATCATGTTTCAAATATCAATAAGCTTACTTTTTTTAAAGAAAAATTTTGAGGACAATATCATGCCGTGAATTTTTCCTCGAGTATGTATATAAGCCTAAACAAATTTAAAAAACATATGTAATATATTGATAAATGAAACAGAAAACGTATCAAGGAATACTTTAAATTACAGAAATCAATGTTATTCATGATTGTGATTTTAAAACTAGCAAGTCGTTTATAATATATACATTTTTTTTTATGGAGAATTATGCAAAAATTATTATTATATCTTTCAAGGTGTCTGCAAACTTATTTCATCCACATTAGTCTTTTTAATGACACTGAAAGGCTACCAGAGAATGCATTATCTTCCTTGAGGCATTTGTAATTCTGTAACGAGACGCGTTTCACCAAGTGTGAAGATTTGAATTGAGTGTTTTGGAGGACCAAGCCAATTAGTGTATTCACTTAAAACAATCTATAAATTAATGAAAGATAAACATTGTCCATTGAGAGTTGAGTT